CCCGGTAGAAGGAGAATATCATGGCTGCGAAATTTAAGAACATGGTTTAAGAAAACCTCAACGGAGCTGTTTCGAGCCGCAGCGAGCAAGGTTATGATTGCCAATATGATTTCCAACATCCGAAACGGATAGGAGCCAGAAGAAGAATTGATAAAAAATTATGCGTACAAGAACATTTTACGGTTAGATTAAATTTAAACTTCAATTTAATGCCTTTCAACCTTTTATGTCATATAAAATGAATTCTAATAAAGTTGTAATAATGTTGGAATTCCATAGATTTTACAGATTAGTACCGACTATGAGTGTACTATCGTTTTATGTAAGGGTTTTACATGTTTAAATGGGGAATTTCCCGTGCTACGACAAAATTTAACGAAATAGTATAAATATATTAATTTCAAGTGTCAATTGGTTACTTGTCGTATTTGTGAATAGTGCATAAAATTCTGAACATAAGTTACGTTTCATTTATATCTAGCCGAAAGCAACTAAGTGAAAAGGAACTTTTACGTTTACTTGAAAGTGATGATCCAGAGCTTGATATCAATGAGATTTAGCAAGTGATTTTATTAGCAAAATTACATTTTTTAGCAAAATGACCTTATTATTGATCAAAGCATAGAGAAAAATATACCAACAGTTACTAACTCTGAAGGATTATCGGTATATGTATCTAATGATGAAACTGAGTGGTCAAGGTTGCCATAAAACACAAAAGTGAAGGGCGCAAAGGCCAATATTCGTAGATATGCTCTAGGACTTACAAATTACAGTGATGATACATCAAGTATCAAAAACGCTTTTCTTCTGTTTTTTTCATACGAAATTCTAAACATAATTGTCATGAAAAATTAATCGGAAGGCTCAAGCGTATTACGATAAATGGAATAGTGAAAACCCAAATAAAACTAAAGTGTATGTTTGCGTTGATTCTGTAGAGATTAAAGCCTATATTAAAGTATTATTGCTTATACTTGGAGCTTCTCATGGATCGAAAGAATCAATCGATATGGTTTGGTGTGACGATATTGCTTACTGCCGTCCTATAATACCAGCTGCTATGTCTAAAGATAGGTTCAAAAAAATAACTTCATTTATACGTTTTGACAATATTGAAACCAGACAGGAACGAGAATCAGTAGATAAACTAACCCTAATAAGAGATGTATGTGATATTTTTATTTCTAATTGTAAGAAATCATTTAATCCAGGCGACTATCTGTATGTAGAGTAGTATGCACGTGCCTTTTAGAGGTAAAGCACCATTCCGAGTTTATATGAAGAGCATACCTGACAACTACGGATTAACGATATGGGCCCTTGTGTACTGCACTACGTCTTTTATTGTAAACATCCAAGTTTATTTGGGTGTTTTTGAATTGCCAATAAGAAGACAAGCAAATTTTTAAATCTATTAATTTTTAGGAATACAAGTTCATAAGGCGGAAAAAGCTCAAGGCTAAAGGAGGGTTTGGAATAGCAACTGACAATTTTTTTACTAGTTTCCAGCTTGCAATAAGTTATATGAGAAGAATTAAACTCTATGTGGAACTTTTCAACAAAATAAAGCGTTTATTTCAAGGGAGCTTCTACCAGCATCATATAAAACATATTATTCAAGTATGTTTGCTTTTAGAAAACATCGAACGTTAGTTTCTTATGTTTTAACACGAAGAGCTGCAGTCATCTTACTTTCAAGTATTTTTTCATGTTGATGAAAAAGAGGCTGGTGAGGAACACTTCTATAAACCTGTAAAATTATTCTACATTACAACAAAACGAAAGGAGACGTCTATACAACCGATAAGTTAGCTAAACAATATACGGTACAAAAAAAAACAAACCGTTGGCCGATGGCTATATTCTCCCATTTTATTGATGTAACAGGTATTAATTCCTATAAAATGTGGCTACTAAAATATCCTGATTGGAAAAAGCACAATATAAGTAAGTGTACTCGCTTCGGCGGTACATATACTAAAATTGGAACGATACAGAGAAGTTTAACATGGCCCCTTGCAAGGATGACACGCAAAATCGTGAAGCGTTTCACATTTTTTACACGCCAATGATTTCTAAATTAAAAGTTGACAATAGGATTTCAATTTCTTCTCAAGAAATAGCTAACACCCTAGCTGAATCTTTTAGAGTAATGTCTTCAAACAAAAGCTACAATGATACATTCCTTGAAAGGAAAATAATAACAGAAAATACTGATCTTTTTGCAAATGACAATTTAAATGATCCATTAGATCTACCTTTTAATTTTGAAGAACTCAAAAATGCTTTATCCGAATTAAAAAATACTAGCCCGGGCCCAGACGATATCCCGGAAATATTTCTAAAACATCTTCCTTGCTCAACAAAATTATTGATTCTTTAACTTTTTAACTTAATTTGGCAAAATAATAAATTTTCATCAATTTGGTCTAAAGCTATTATATTACTTTTTTAAAACCTTAAAAATCAATCCTAGAACCTGACTCATGCAGACCAATCAGCTTAACATGTTCTATGAGCAAATTGATGGAAGAAATGGTAAATATTAGATTAACCTGGACATTAGAATTATCAAATCGTTTAGTTCCGGAACAAAACGGTTTCAGACAAAATAGCTCGGGCATTGACAATATTCTTGATCTAGAATCTGACATTCATGAAGCGCTAGCAACCAAACAGCATTGTACTGCAATATTTTTCGACTGAAAAGGCTTTAATATTGTTGAAATTCAATATTCTGAAAGAACTACATTCATGGAATATCTGGAAATTGCCTGAAATTTATTAAAAACTTTTTACAGAACCGGTCTTTTTGCGTAAGAGTACATAATACTTACTCAGAGGAGAAAAGTGAAGAAAATGGAACACCCCAAGGATTAGTCCTAAGCCCTACTTTATTCCTAGTGGCAATAAATAATATTATTAATAGCCTTACTAAACCTCTAAAGGCTCAACTTTTCACAGATGATCTTGTTGTCTATATCAAAGGAAATAACACCGAATCAATGACAAACGCTTTGCAGTGATTTCTACACCAATTAGAACAATGCTCTCTAACGACCGGATTCAAATTTTCAGGAACAAAAACATCAGGAATACTCTTTTCCAAAAACGTTTTAATCAATGCCTCTTGCGTTAAAATTATACAACACTATGCTCCCATTTAAACCAACGGCAAAGTTCTTAGGTATGTTGTTTGATCAACAACTTACTTAGCAACAACATATAAAACAAACAATTATAACATGTCATAAAAAACTGAATCTAATGAAACCATTGGCAAACCGAAATTGGGTATCAGATCAGGAAACTCTGTTGAGAATATATATAAAACACTAATTAGATCTAAATTAGATTATGGATCAATTGCATCTGCTTCAAAAGCACTACTTAAAAACTTGACAGCATACACAACGCTGACAGTAGAATTGCACTTGGAGCCTTCCCGACAACTCCTTCCGAAAGCATACTGAGCGAAGCCGGCGAACCACCTCTAAACTACCAAAGAATATACTTAGCTCTAGCGCATGCTACATCTATAGCCACAAATATAAAAAACCCCTCTACTGTAATACTTTTAATAACAAATGTATTAATTATTACAATAATAAGCCCCGTACCCCCAAACCTAATTACGAGAGAATCCGATTATATAGCTCCAGACTGAACATTCAATTCCCAACAGTATTTCAAACGAATACCAATAACTATCTACCTTGAACTATCGAACAGCGCAAAGTCATTACAGCGTTAACTATATATAATAAACATGAAACTAATCCTATTATTTTTAAAGTTAAACTAAATTCAATCCTAGGTCAACAATATAATGAGTGGATTAAAATTTATACAGATGCATCCAAAGGTGAACTTGGCGTTGGAGTAGCAGTGGTAACCCCAAATGACACTTTTCAATTTAAACTTCCTGTAAATTCTAGTATCTATACTGCAGAACTATTTGGTTTGCTCAAAGCCATCAAGCAAGTAAATATTAAAAACATCCCTTGTTGTCTAGTCCTTTCTGGCTCTCTCAGTCAAAGCTATGCAAAATGTATACCCTAAACACCCCATTGAGAAAATTATCAGGGCCGAATTAATAAAAGCTCAAGAAAATTTACAACAAGTAGAGTAAAACAAACAAAAAATACAAGGGGCGGTGGCATGTGTGTTGTAGAGACAAAGACAGAAAAACTAGTAAAATATGTGTAAAATGTAAACAAGTTTGTATGTCTAGAAACGCAAAATCAGAGATAATTTGTGTACATTGTACAAGTATGTAGTTTTTATTTAGTCTGTTAGCGTCAGCAGTAGAATATATTTTGTAGTAACGTGTATTTTTTAGTGTAATAAATGTTTAATACTATAAAAATAATGTTTTACCGTTTTTTTTTTTCGATATAAGTATAGTCTTTTGTGTAATATTTTGAAGCTCGTCCGATAAAGGTTAAATAAATATAAAGAATTTGAAAGATTCTAAAGAAAATATATGGAGGAGTGCAAAAACAGAGTTTTTGGCGTAGGCGCTACAACTTTGAATTATACAGAAGTTTTGGGAACCTGACGTTGTAAAATTTATTAAATTAGCACGCCTTCGATGTATAGGACATTTAATTAGGTGAGATAAAGATGTAACGGTCAGAAAAATGTTCGACCGAAGAGGACCAGTGGGAAGACGATCCAGAGGAAGACCAAAACTTAGGTATCATGATAACATAGAGGATGATCTAAATTCCATCGGAGTTAAAGCATGGAAAAGAGTTGTCAGAGACAGGGGCGAATGGAAGATTGTTCTGAAGAAGGCTTTGGCTCATGACGAGCTGTAATGTCACTGATGATGATGATACTATATAATACACTACATCAAAATCAGTATAGCGATAATGATTATTATGCAGTGTACATTAATCACTATCATTACATCGCACTCTTTTTTAATACTTAATAATTAAATACAGTCATATATCGAACAGGAAAATAATTATAGAATAACAACACAATAACTATAAAAATATTTTATTAATTTATTCGAGCATTTTGTCACAAATTATTTAGGCTTTGTTAAGTGCATCACAGTCGTCTTTAAGGGCAGCATCGATAGCATCGTGGAATTTCAAGGCAGCTTGTCTGGTGATTGTGTTTTGGCAAGAAGCTTCAATATGAGCTTTAGCGCAGTTCCTTACCTTGGGGAGAGTTCTGAAACAAAAAGTATCAAATATTAGTTATAGATGTCTATATTGCTTGTTGAAGTCGTTCTCATATAAAAACTATGGTAAAATTGTTACAACGTTACACCACAAATAGTTTTTTACCGACATTCGACAACAAACAAAATATCTACTAGATAAAAAAGATATTTTTTGACCGTATTCCTGTCGTCCTTTACGATGCCTTTTGGATTCCATCAGCTACTTTGTTATCATTTCTAATTCCATTCTGGTAATGCGTTCATAGTAGTTTACAATTTAAATCAATAGTAATACAATCAATTTAAGAAAGCAAAAAAAGAATGCCTTCACTGTTTTATAAGTCTGCAAAATGTATTTAACTCATAATATTCACGAAAACATTTCTTAAAACAAAAAGAGTTGTTTACAATGTAAATTTTGCAAAAATTGTAATCTTTAATATATATCTATTAATAAAATAATAATCTTTAATAAAATACTCACGAGCAGATGAGTGATTTGGATGGAAGTTTGTTTCTGTGTTCATCGATAACTGTTTTGATTTCTCTACAAGCTGGGAAAGAAGCGAAGTCCTTCTCAAGGGCACATGGGTTAAACAATTCTAAAACAAAAAATAGATATTAATACAGACCTTAAGTATTTATTTAATGTGTGTCTAAGCGGCCAATTTTAAGACGAATAAAAAACTTACCCAAAATTTCTTCAACGGTGGAACTACAGGCTTGTTTGACAACAGCAACGACGATTTTCTGTCCCAAGACAGGAAGGTCTCTGGATTCCTCTGGTAAACAGGAGGCAATTAGGTCGATGGCTGGTTTGGCACATCTAGCCAAGTTGTTCTTGACAAGAGAGCAAAATGTTTCTGATCCAAGTTCGATATCGTCGACGCATTTTTCAATTTTCTCAGAAATATCCTGTAAAAAGAAGAAAAGTTTAAAATTCCAAGTCTATCCTGCATATGGAATTATTGACACACTTAACTAAAAATTTAGCGCATAACAATAATCTAGTAAAATAAGTCAAGTTATTCAAAAAATCATTAGTAATCCGATCAATGATTAGTTCATATATTTTGGTAAATATTTAGTTAGACTTTAATATATAACTTAGTTAATCACTTACGTCAAGTTTTTCTTCTAAGTCGGGGCATTTAGCTTTAGCTTTTTCGGCCATTTTGATAACGTCGAGAAGGAGGGTGGTATTGAATTTCTTGTTCAACATTTCTGCTACTTCTCTCACATTTTCTTCAGACGAGCTACTGGAGTCTTCTTTTTTGGCAAGGACTAGAAAAGAAATCGAAGGTAGAATAAAAGTGGAAATCTTATTATATTGTATCAAGAAATACATAAAAAATAAAAGAAGCCAAAGAAAATGAGATGCTTTGAAATTGATAGACTACAGAAATTACACCACTCTTTTAATATGCATAAGAATATTAAAGAAATCACCAGAAATATGTGTGCAAAGTATTTTAGAACGCTAACAAAAGAAAATAATGAATTCTTGACAAAACTAAGAACACGAACTGAAATTGAAATTGAAATTGCACGTAGTTCATTTATGAAAATGAAACAACTGTTTTGTAACAGAACTTTAGGTAATAACTTATGCATGTTGAGATGTTTTATTTAGTTAGATCTTTTTATATGGGATATGAGTAGTCACGGTGATTAAAACGATGATGAAAAAGGAGGAAGTGTTTGAGATGTGGCTTATTTAGACCAAGTCACTAATGAAGAGGTTTTTTTATTTTATTACCATAACAAAGCCTAATGCTGACGATCCAGTGGTTTTGATCCTTGTTAGTAATTATTATCATACAAAAAATTTGGAGGTAATAACTATACCACGAGAAAACCATTTACACATAATTTGCCTTCCACCGCATTCGACACATAAAATGCAGCAATTAGATATGGCATTTATTTCACCGTTTAAAACATATTACATGAAGGAGATCACAAACTGGCTTAGGCTTAATCCAGGACGTGTTATAACAGGCTATCAATTAGGAGAACTTTTTGGAATCATTTATATGAATTCAGTGACCATGGATACAGCAATTAATTGGTTTACGAAAGTTGCTATGTTGTCCCCCAGAAACGTACTCAAAGAATGTAATTTTGTCGCAGAAGGCAAGAAACAGTTAAAGAGGGAGTAGAAGTACAAATAGTTAATGAAGAAGCAGTGGAAAACAGAACAGTCCATAAAAAAATAATAGAAGAAGAAGCAGTAAAAGAAAATCAATTTTGTAAGAATGTACCAGAAGAAAAAACCTTTGAAAAGCAGGTTATTTCTGAAGGTTTGATGCTTGTCCAAACAGCTTCTGAAAATATCCTAAAAAAAGATACCGGTAGTGGCAAAGCGACAATGTAATAACCACTCAATACAAAGATAAATTAAAAAGCAGTATTGAAAAATGAAAATTACTCTTAACGTTAAAAGACAAGCAAATAATTCAAAAACAAATAAAAAAAATAAACTAAACCTTCGAAACAAATAAAGAAATTGTCAGTGGCCAAACAAAAACTAAATAAACGGGAAAGAGAATCCAGCAGTTCTTTATCTTTAGATTCGGCTCCTGCAGTAAAGTATCAAGATTCAGATGTAAGTGACCTGTATAAAATTTTAAAGATATCGTTTGTATTTTTTGCGAAACTCGATATTCTGAAGAGGTCAGAGGCGAACAATAAGTGATATGTCAGGGCTATTTTAAATGGGTTCACGTTGAATGTTCTGGGTGTGAAAGAAACCGGTAGATTTGTGACTTTTGCTCTGATAAATAGGTATATTGTGTGTTATTTTTAGAGAACTAGATTTTTAATTCATTTAAGAAAAAATACCTTTTTATTAGATGTATTGTATGTCAATTCATAAATAGATAGTTGTAATCCAAAAAAAACCCAACATAATTGAATTTATTTTGGAATTTTACATTGTAAGTGGTACATTTTATTAGAATAACCTATACCTCTATGGGGTAGAAAACTTTTTTAAATACTGCCTATTTCCTTTTGTATTTTGTTTAAGCTGTGTTACACTCAGTTCTGCTAGCATAACTTGACGAAGCAAAGTCAAGTCAAAATATCGTCGTTTAGATGATATGTACTCGATAACACAGCTTCTTTTAGTCCACTCTCAATAAAGCGTCTTAAAACCTCAAAACAGCATAAAATTTAAACCAAATAGTAATCTTAGGTTTTTGGATAAAATTCTAAAGGAATATAAAGAAAAATTTATAAAACTATCGTCAATATGAAACACCGCTAATTTGGAAAATTGTGGAGAAAAATTTCTAGAAAAGGTTTAAAACAAAAAAAAATAAACTAAAAAGCTATTTTAAATAAATAAAAATGTAATAGTCCTACTGGCGGTCAAAAATTAAAACATATAGCTACTAATATGTTAGGGCAAAAAATTATTTCAGTAAAAAACAAACACTTACCAGCGCCTACAAGAAGAACAGCTAAAATCAGGTACTTGTTCATTTTGTATATGTTTGTATCTGTCCACTTCAAAGACCGAACTTGATATGTTTTAGTCCTCAGTTGTCACTCTTATATACAAAATGACAACGCTTACGCCTTGATTAGGTATTATAAACATTCACGAATTGTCGCATCTTATAGTTTAACCCGGAGATAAGATTACAAGAAATGTTTTTCTGAAAATAAATTATTTAAGTAGAATTGAGTGAATTGTTAATAGTATGTTCTGTTTGTGAGAAATTTGTTTTTAAAAATATTTGATAAATAGTCAACAATTACAAGAAATGTATATTAATATTAGCTACATCCAATTTTAATATCGATCGATGCTTACCAGAACCTAATCATTCTAATGAATAATTTGCAACATGAGCAAACAAGATTCAAACAGATATCTGTTCTTCAGAACAATTGATGCATCTTTCTATTGGACTTTATGTTTATTATTCCATGGTGCATGTCTAAAATTAAGTAAATTCTCTACTTTTTTTTAATAATCAAAGAATATTGAATAAAATTGCGCCACGTATAGAATTATGTCTGTCGTTCGTACAATAAGTAGAGTATATAAAACTATTTGGAAAACCATAAAAATACAGTATTGCCCAAAATAAACAGTACTGAAACTGAAACATAGATGTCCCCTTGTGCTAGCTATCATATTCAAATTAACTACTATAGACCTGTCAAGTAATCCTTAAACAATTAATTGTTAAGGCCTAATTGTTAAAAATGGTGTTAAGTACAGAGGAGAAAGGGGTTCTTGTGGAGCATTATTTTCTCCCATACGGAATTGGTCGACGTAATAGTGCAAGTCTCCAATACGTGTGTGATCAATTCACAAAAGGTTTAATAAACGTTATCCAAGTAATACTGTAATTTTGAAGGTTTTTGAAAAGTTTAGAAAACAAGGTAATGTATTGTGCCAACGAAAAGGAAACTCAGGGCGTGTTAGGACAGTTAACAACAACGATAACCATGAACGTGTTTTTGAGCAAATCTTGGAGAATCCGAAAGCCAGCCAGACAAGAACAGCGTTGCATCTTGGCTTAAAATGAACTTCCTTGAAAAGAATCCTGAAGGAGCTGGATTTATTTTCGTATGTGATTCAGATACATCAGCAATTACATCCCAGGGATTATCACAGTAGATTGAAATATTGTGCCAGAATTCTTGCATTACAGTATGAAAATCCTGAATTTTTGAAAAATGTATGGTTTTTTGACGAAGTACATTTTATTTTCATTTTCATTTGACGAAGAAGCACAGGCCATGTAAATAGTCGCACAAATCGATTTCTTGGCATTGCCAGACCAGGGCCCTATTCTAATTGAGATTTCGACTCAAAACATGTCGAAATTAATATGGCGACGTCGAAATGCGACTTTGCGAGCCTAGTAGATTTTAGCTGAACTAACCAAAGGACGTCACTAATTTTCGATTTATCGAAATTAATTTCAACTTCAAGAAAGTGGTTGATATTTCATTTCGAGTCGAAATTAATATTAATGTGACATGACTGGCTGGACTGGGAGAAGCACAAAGTGAGATTAGGTTCAGTTTAGGCGGTGTTGTTTTGTTTGATTGTTGCAAGAAAAACTGATTATTAAAAACTGTTGCAAAAAGTATTAATATTACTGCGTTTTATGAGAAATTGTATGTGATTCGGCACAGAATTGGTCGAAATTTTGACACCTATAAAAATAGAACTGCAGTACCTGGGTGCCCCAAGCCAGATACTATAGATTATTTTTTAAAATACTGTGGTGCAAAAATTAATGAAATAAAATGTCCCAATATTAAAACTAAATTGGAAACCACAATTTTTGAAGATATTCAACAGGCTGTAATGGAAGATAGAAATAATAAATAATTTGGTTGTAATAATTTATTTGTTCTTTTTACAAGTTATGTGTTTGAATGGCATGCTCTTGAAATTCTACTCTCCTATTTGGGATATAAAATAATTTTTAAACTCATCACGAATTTTGAGAGCGGTTATGTATTGTTTTTAGTAATACATCTCCTACTTTCAGTAGTTCCGATGCTATTTGATCCAATCCCTGTGATTTATTGTTTTTAAATTTGGCTACTGCTGTTCTAATCTTGCTTATTGTTATTGTTGGTGCCTGGTGGGCACTTTTCTCTGATGTCTGCTTGGTCTAATTGTATATGAAAGTTCTCCTCCAGCCGCCATTATGGCATAAGTCTTACGTTTTTGCGCATAAATTTGCGCATTTCTTGTACAAGAAACTGCAGCGGACACAAATTCTTGTATCGTTTCTGATATAAGAACTATACGCTTGTATGACACTATCCATTTTTTTGTTATATCAGAAACGATATAAGAAATGATACAAGAAAATGCATAGTGTCATACGGCCTTAAGAAGAATGTTACGGGATACTCAAAATCCTTTTTCACTAAGTGATGCTCAATTTAGGCAGCAATTCCGCCTTAATAAACAAGCTGCAAATTATTTGATATGGATATTAAAACCATATTTGGAGGAGGGTGTTTATGCCTCTAGGAGACCGAAAATGTTTAGGATAAGTATTACTAAGCTGCAGTAAATTTAAAAATATATTAGAATATAACCACTAAGTTAAATATTGTTCTGAAGCTATTTTCCTGTGGCATTGTAAATTAAATACTATTAAACTGGGAATAAGACACAATTAAAGATAAAAATACGTTTATTGACGTTTCAATTTCCACTTCGGAAATCGTTCTCAAAATACAAACAGTAAATTAAACAAATTTTGTTTTTTTGTTACATAGTGAAAAATTCTTCTAATAATTTAATTTTATCTGACTCATTTATATTGACAATTCAGACATACATTATGCATTTTAAAGTAGACGACTTTAAAATGATATTGCCAATATTGTTGAGTTGCGCTCCTGGGACGACTTTACTTATAAGATAGTTCATTCGATTACATGAAATCAACTTTAACTTGAGAATATCCGTCAGAAAAATCATAGCATGTAATTCGTCTTTAAAAAGACAAACACATGACATGATGACAGTAAAATTTCCCTGTTAGTGATTCCATAGTAAATTATGAGGGAAAAAAACCAGGAAAAAAACCTCATAATACTATCCCGACATTGTAAGTATTTGTTCGTGAATTTAGTTTACCTTCAACAAACATCAAAATTCTGATTTTATATGTTACGTTATTTAAAAAACATAAATGATGTATCCTCTATATGTTACTGACTTACTAATACTGGTATTTTCTTATTAATAACTTCCTCTTTCAATATTGGTAACCAGATCGTACTACATTCTGCCGAGGAATTTGCAACACAATTGGCCTCATTTAGCATAATTAGAGCCGCTTCTTTGATTTTTCTTTTTTTACCATCCGTTTCTTTTAGAGACGAATTACATTTTCTGACGGATATTCTCAAGTTAAAGTTGATTTCATGTAATCGAATGAACTATCTTATAAGTAAAGTCGTCCCAGGAGCGCACCTCAACAATATTGGCAATATCATTTTAAAGTCGTCTACTTTAAAATGCATAATGTATGTCTGAATTGTCAATATAAATGAATCAGATAAAATTAAATTATTAGAAGAATTTTTCACTATATAACAAAAAAACAAAATTTGTTTAATTTACTGTTTGTATTTTGAGAACGATTTCCGAAGTGGAAATTGAAACGTCAATAAACGTATTTTTATCTTTAATTGTGGCTTATTCCCAGTTTAATAGTAATTAATTTCACTAAGTTAAAAGCCACCATTTTTTATGGTCATAATTTCTTTTTGGTCCACAGATAATTTAGTGCCAACATCATCGACAGCCACTCCATCCATTTTCTTTCAATTCAAAATACAATAATTGAGAATGGCCACTAAAAATTTAATAACTCAAACAAGAAACAAAAATCGTAACGTAAACAAAACAAACATTCAACAAGCGTTGTGCAGCGTGCAGCCAATAAACAAAACGACCAACCCAAATTCTGAGCAGTGTCAAAATGATAACGTAAATATCCCCACTTTTAACTAAAATCGAATTGAATGAGAATCGCTAGCGATTGCGACTGTCATAGCGTAGTGGCTTTTAAATTTCGACATCGAAATGAAATAGAATCAGGGCCCAGATGATGTTTAAGAAGTTCCTTTACATAGCACAAAATCTAGTTTTTGGTATGCAGTTTCGACACAAGGAATCATTGGTCCCTACTGTATCGAAGAAAATGGTAGGCAAGTCACACTTATTCAACAGAGTTACATACAAATTTTAACACGCTTTATCCCCAATCTACGTAAATTTTGTCATGCACTTAATTTAGAATTTAGAGACAAATTTTTCCAGCAGGATAGGGTATTTCTTCAGAGACATTTTCCAAACAAATTAATTTCACGATTTACTGACTTCCCCTATCCTGCACATTCTCCATTCTTCGCGGACTTGAGACAACCCCTATTTCATAACATCACGATAAATCTGGAATATCGCTATGAAGTCTGTCTAGAGAGAGGAGGAGCTCATTTAGAACTTTATAAGGTGTCAAAAATATGTATTTTTTAAAACAATAAAATAATGTTTATTTTTGGCTATACTGTATGAAGTAGTGAAAAAGTTCAGAAAAACACCATAGTCCAGTCGTCAGAGATTTGACCTACAAAAATCATACGAACATGAATCATGAATGAATTTTGCTGAGAATATTAATTTTGGGCAACAAAAAAGATACAAAAAGTTACCCACCCCTCTCCCAGGATTCCGCTTAAGACGCACCCTTGAGAGGGTAACGGAAAAAATCGTTTTACGAGTAATCTGTAAGTCGTAGAAAAAATGTTTCAAATAAAAGTTGTAGCTCAAATAATTTTTTAAACAAAAATATTTATTGGCACTTTTTGTGTAGAATGAACCGTTAGGTCTCTCAGAAACAACGCTTGAACCGACCGTCGATTTTGGATGTCAGTCGTGACAGTTACAGAACTCGACAGTGAAAATTCCATACGTTTTTTGTTCAAAGTATTATATCGACAAAAATCAAAATGCATTCTAATGCGTTTCATAAGTTTTGTATTGTGCTGCAAATGAAGTCAGTTTTAATAAAAGTGAAAAAAATAAACGTTGCGCGATTTTTGCCATTTTTTAGGTTTCTCATGAGAAATTAGATCAATAAAATTTATCACTT